GATATTTGGCGGAATGCCTGCTCCCACCAAGGTCTACCCGGATCATCCGTGCGAGTCAGGAGGTGAGGCTGAGGAGCCTGACGCTGAGAGAGGCCCGGAAGGAAAAGACACGAAACTGGGCCTTCTTGGCGGTGGCTCCTCGCCTCTGGAACAACCTCCCTTCAGAGATTCGTGCGGCCCCTACACTGGGAATCCTTAAAACCCAATTAAAAACATGGTTGTACATCCAGGCCTTCCCTCCAGTCAATACCTGATTTCTTTTCTATTCCTTCTTATTTTATTCTCACTCTATTGTAACTGTATCAAATGATTATATACTGTTCTTGTGTTAAAACATTTTATCCTATACTGGAAGCCGCCTAGAGTGGTCGAGTAGACCAGATAGGCGGGGTATAAATCAAATAAATAAACAAACAAACAAACAAACAAGAATATAAGAGAATACACTGATTCCTGAATTCCAGTAACCTTCTCCACATCTGTGACAGTGATTCCTGGTAAACTGTGGACCATATTTTTCTATAACAATGTCAATACAGCTCTAAGTACAACTACCTTACTCTGGATACAGCCAAACAAACAGGTAGTTGAGTAGAAACTCTGTGTGAACAAGGTGTGACTAGAACAAGGAAATTTCAAAAATACTTAGTCCTCGAATTCTCATAATTATTCCCACTGATTTCTGTTCTTTAGGTGTCATGATCACACCACACAAATTGAAGTCTCCTTTGGAGAAGTGAGAGGACACTCACCACTTGGAAAATGTGGTCCTCTGGTTTGTGCCCTTGTCAGTGCGCTCTGAACAGCTTGTTGAAAGTTCTTCCCTGGAGTCTGCTGCTTTGTGTACATGCTGTAGATTGAACTTGCAGCCACAGTCTGTGGCTTTCGAAACAAGGGAGGAGGAGCCTCTTTGGTGGGCTGAGGTGTGAAAGGTCTTACAGCTGCTGCAGGAGGACTCTCTTGTTTGGCAAGAGTGAGATCGGGATTGATAGGAGGGCCACTTGGGGACACACAGATTCTTTGCTGGACCTGCTGAGAGGCTGGTGGTGTAAGTGAGGTTGGTGGCTTCTGTTTGCTTCCAGTGGCTGGAATTGTCAGAGGAAGCTTCTGGACATTACCATCTGACTTCATATCTTGTGAAATTAGCTGATTGCCTTGACCAAAGTAAGGCAAGTTGATTTGCTTAGGCTTAGTGGGAACAGGTGGTGGTACTTTTGCCATGGTTTTAGTGCCTGCCTGTAAGAGCAAACAAAGTAAAAAAAAATGATAAAACTACGGATAGCAAATTCATTGCAGATGCAAATGCTATAATAAGACATTGCTATCTCCTACGTGCTTATGAACTGTAGAGCTTAATATACAGTTTGGAAATGTAAATATGTGGATATGTAAATACATGCACATAATAAATCTTTGACTTATTTCTCATTTCTTCACTTGGCAACAGGGTATATTTGCTTATCCCACTGAAGGGGACACCGTGGTACAGCCCCATGTTAAGACCAAAAGGGTCATATATTCATACAACCTTCCCACCCAGAGCAGACCTTTGGTCTAGATGGGCGGGGTAGAAATCTAATAAAATAAAATAAAATAATCTTCTGGTAAAAATCTACATTTCCCCCATACTCCTAAAAAGCATATGGCAACACTTCCTTCTCATTCGTGCAGTAAACCATAATTCTGTAAGGAATTAAGTTCTGGGCACCAATCTCAGCTTTACAGATGGAGAACTTGAGGAAAGATCAACATTTGCCAAAGCCACCTACTGAGCCATTGGCACACCTAAAGCAAGATACCTGGGCCTAAATGACATCCAGTAGGCCATACCAGTTAACAGAACAATAGGCTACCTTGCATAAACTTATGGCTGTTGTACCACATGGCTGAGATCAATCTCTTAGCATGCAAAGAGCAGATCATAACTCAGAAGGCACTATCAACTTTCTGTATACCTGTCCATCGCGCAGCAGATCTTCACTGCTCTGATTCTTTCTCAGTGTACCTGTTGCAGGCACTCCAGTACCTCCATTTGGTTCAACAGAATCAAGCATGGAAAAGGGACGCACTTTCTTCTCTCTTTCTCTAAGAGGAACGTCTCCTCCAGCTAAAACAGAAACAAGAATGTTGAATTTGAAATACCTGTTTGGTATTCCAACTGACTGAAGAAAACTTGAGAATGTTTGTTTAAAGCAACCAACATAGAAAGCTACTTTTAACAAGCACAGTCAAGGACAAACAAGAGGCTGTGAATAAGCACAAACGTTCTCATATATATAATTTCTTTGTGCTTTTTTAAAAGTACATTCTGGAATATAAACACAAACTTTACCTTCTCACTTAAGAAAGATTAGAGAACATCTACAAAAATCTCTATAAACTACCATTGATTTTTTTAAAAAATACATCACGATAGGAACTTACCCTGCCCTTCACTGTTACCACTGACTTTTGTCACTGAGGAAGTCAGCGCTTGGTTGCCAAAGCTATCAATACTTGAATTATTCCAGTCATTGTTAGTGAGTGGAGGTTTGGGACCAGCAGCTGTAATAGATGGAGCACAGGAGAAGAACAGAGATGACTTGAAAATAAGAAAATGTTTTTATAACAAGCTTCCAAACAAGACCTCCTCCTCCTCCTATATACAAATGCCATTCAGTTTCAATCCTGAATTTTTGTATTTTCCTCTATTTTGAACATGAAAAGTGCACTTCTCAAGTGCAGTATGATGCTTGAATATCCCTTATACAATAAAATTACAGATGTCTTCTGCTGAAGTATGGCAGTATGATTCCTTATAGCTATTAGCTTCTGCTTATTTGTTCATTTTGGCTATAGCAGTTAAGCTAATAGATCACTATTTGGATTAACATTTTATTAGAAGCTCTACAGCAGGGGTCCCTAACGTCCAGTCCATGGCCTAGGCAGGACCAGACTGCAGTTAAAGATCTCCTTCCGCCCCCCCCCGGCAAACCG